GGGATGTTGAGCTCTGTAGTCTGGTAAAAACTGATCGATGTTTCAAAGGTGCTTACTGTTGATGCAGGTATAAAGAACCTCTGAAACGTCGATCAATCTTTACCAGACTACAGAGCTCAACAACCCACCTGTTCCTTTAACGTAGCCAAGTCTAAAAAAGAATATAAGTGGTCCTCTATCTAGAATAAATAAAAGAAGATGTCTGCTCTAGAACCTCAGAATTTGAATGGTCTCTGAAAATAAGTTTTTAAAGCTTCCATCGTAAGATTTCGCAGCGAATGTTTACATGCACGCCCAGCGGACATCATCCCCAGTTGAGTCAAAGTGACTCACGTCGAGAAATTACTTCAATTTTTTTTTTCTTACGACCTGCCCACGGTGTGTGTTTGAGGACTTGAATCCCGACCTGTTCTCGCGGTCTGCTTTATCTTCCATGCATTTTGGCTCCGTGCCTCCCTCTTCCCTCCCCCTCCCTGCTGGAACCTGAGAATCGCCTCGCGTGACTCTTTTTCGAAAATATTTCGGGCAGTTCTTGATCGTCTGCAGGTGGGCTGGAAGACGCAAGGTGTGCCAGCTGCGGCGACAGTTACAACTTAATAAAATGCGCTAACGTAAGCAACACAGGCAGAACCAGCGCGAACTGATAAATTACTGCTTACTTTTTAAACATAACCTCAAATATTCTACCGTTGCTCATGTTTGAACTCTTAAAACACGCGTATGCACAAAATAATATTTCGTACTATACCCAGTACTGAAGATGGATACAATATGTTACTCCGAAACGCTGGTATTTATTTACCTGCAAGTCCAAGCGGTGTTACAACCCAGAAGACCAACGCGGATATTTTCGCAGTCTTGAGACACTAAGATCTTGTTAGGCAATTTTATAATCTGAGACCTAAATCGATAGTCGATACTCTCGAAACGTTTGTCGCGATTATTGATGCAAATTATCCCAATTAATGTTGCGTGTGGCGTTGCAACTCAAACTCATTTGTCGTTTATTCAGCGTGACGTATTTTTTATCTTCCACAAATTCCTACGGCGAGCGGTAATTCAATTTGGAAGTTGAAGTTTAAAAACTGAAAATATTGAAATCAAAGAATTAACTTTCATCAACTTTGTATCCGGAATTTACGTGCCAGGAACAGTGAGAAAACAGCGTATTGAGTAATTTATTCTCTTCAAAAATGTTATAATGATTAAATCAATGCAGCACGCGTGTAGAAAGATGAGAAATGCATACATTTTAGTTGTAATTCAAGGCAAGAGACCTTGTCGTAGATGGAATAATAATATTATAATGGGCCTTCGATAAATACAGGATTTTCTTTGCTAACTGAGCTACTGTTAGCTTCTCAAGAAGGACTCTGTTCCGCGGAGTTGCTTGGTTGGTACGTGCGTACCAGAAGAATAGTTTAGTCACAATCGACTTGTATTCTGCGCAACGTCCAGGGAGATGCAGTGTGGCTGGGACTGACTGCATGGAGTGCGTTCGGAAAGACGTCACGCAGATACAACCACAAGAACAATTAACATGAGTTGTTTTCCTTTTTACAGCGCACCGCACCGCTTGCAGCTTTTCTGAGTAGAACGTATTTGGTAAAACCCATCGTGCAGAAGCAGACTTTTTGCAGACGAGAGAAGCACAGAACGAGACATGCCTATCCTCCGGTACCTTGAAAAACTGTTACACACAGACAAAATTCCAGCAATCATTTGATCTCGTGTAAGAAGTGAAAGCAATGTTATCCGTGACAAAAACAAACACACAAACAAACAAACAAAACAAGCAGATAAGGTCAGAGTAAGTGTCATGCCACACTAAAGTGCTTCCGGACACCTTAGCCCACCCGCAAGACACACACAGGCCTACGTAGCTATTAAATATTCACTTTCATCTGTTTTGTTTCTTTGTTATGACAAACACCATTCTTACCAAACAGCTTCAGTAGTCGATACAGAGTTCTAAAGTGAATTATCAGTAGTCTGTATCTACCCGTGGAAAGAGCTATATATTTTCTAAGACAGGGGGATATATTATGTATTTCTGACTCTGGCACCTGGTCCCAGGTACACATCTGCGCCCTTCCTGTTCCCCTCCCCGTTGGTTATTTTTGTGAGCTGGAGACCTGAAGGCGCCATTGATGAAAATAAACGCAACTTTCCTATTTCTAAACCTCACTCAAACATCACACGGGCTTTCCTCAGGCCCACCCTGGGTGTTCCGTCGACTTGCTCCAGGATCCCGTCAGACGGTGGTAGTAAGAGGTATCTACTGGTCCGACTGTAATTTGTTGTCTCTAGCAAGAGAACGAAGGACGAGGACCTTCGATTGCGTTCTGTTTTAATTCAGCAGTTAAAGTTGCGAAGCATGTGAGTACTATGTTCATACTCAGTCGGGAATCGAAACGAAGTCTCGCAAATGCGTGTGTGTCAACGTGGAGCCAAGCTTAAACACATGGCAGAAACACAGCGTTCAAATCCCAAGTGTGTGCAAGTCGATCGCTTTAGAAAATTACCTTCTCGTCACGTGTCCAGCAGCAAAACTGAAATATCTTTCAACCCTCGTTTTACCGAAAGTATGCAACCGCGCAAACACATTTATGCCCTTTTTATAAATATAATGAAGAAACAAACGCAGAGTACTCAGAGACACGTTTTAAACGAAACGCAGTGGCGTAATGGCTGAGTAATGTGACTGGATGGGCGGGGTTCTAGTCTCGCTTGGGATGTTGGACCATTTCCAGATCACCTCTGGGGCCCCCGTAAGCTTTCACCTAAGAGCAACGGAGGGTATAGTTGTCAGACGTAACCACACAGTCACGAGATGCGGTATTTGTGGGAAGGAAGAGACAGCAAGTAATTAGAGACTAAACACAATATAATTGTTCAGGAAATGATATCCTATCAGTCAATAATTTATTAAAATAAATATAACGTCAATGTAATACATATTTTCGTACTTAATATATTTTAAATAACGTAAAAAACAATACATACACTGGGGAAGGGGGGTAGAGTATCATGGTACTGGTTTAGGAGATTCCACCCCTACGGGGGGGGGGTGCATTCTGCTCACAGGCAGCGACATTCAAACTTTCACTTGCAAAAATGATGCTAATAATGCAGCCTTAAAACTGGAGAAATTTCGAGTGTTAGGATGAAGGCAGTAACCAGGACAGCGCGCTGTGGATCAACAGGCAGACAGCAACGCTTCAGAGGAACACACTGGGCTGAAGAATGTGGCAGTATGTTCCTCCGGAACTCCTGAATCCACCAACGCCACAACGCACATGATCACTGTCGTAACAACCTCGGATCTCAATCAGAGATCATATTTTCGTATTCTGATAACACTCGCTGCATCATTTCTGAATGTATCTACAAGTATTCTGAAACGGTCGTCAGAACTGTCACAAATTTCTTCACTCAGAAAATTCAATTTTGCATTCAGGCAAGTCAAGCATACGCTTACAACACATGTGATTTTCTACCAAACCTCTGAAAGCCCTGTTTCCAAAATTGTGGCGAGTACAAACAGAAACGCAGTAATGCAGGTTTCAAATGAACGCCAAACAAAGTACAAACAGAAACATAGCAATGCAGGTTTCAAATGAACGCCAAACACCCGCGTGTTCCACATTCCAATTAAATAACGTCGAAATGTATTTAAATTAAATTCTTGGGGAAAATGGAGTAATGAAAAACATATCCCAAGCTTAAGCTTGGAATTAGCGAACGTGGGCGGTGACAATTTTGTCCATCCATGTGATGGCTTTCAAATAGTCACCTTCTTTAAGCGGCCCTGAACAGTCAGTGAGTTTGGTGCACAAATTCATTAGTACAGTTCAACCCTTAGCTGTTTAACTTTGACCAAACCTGAGAAACACAAAAACGCCACGAAGCTAAAATCCAGTAGCGTTTTATAAAGTAAATTTGACCTCCCAAATAGACGATCAAAACAAAAACGCCACACGAAACTAAAATCCAGTAGCGTTTTATAAAGGAAATTTGACCTCCCAAATAGACGATCAACATTTAAACACTAGATATAAAGGAAATTGACGGTCGAAAACTAAACATATCGATTCCTTCCGAAATGATTCGCAAGTATTTAAGTTTTGGGACTGCCAATGTACAGTATTTTGCATATGTTCCTGCCCTCTGTGTCGGTCAGGGTAAACGCGTCGGTACGAAGTTGAGAATTTTGATACAATGCAGCCTTCTGGTGGTGTTGTTTCTTTTTCTTAATTATACAGCACGAAATTCATTGTGAGTTTGGTGCACATGTTTGAGAGCTGAAGCAATGTTTGTGAAACTGAAATTAAATTCCTGAGCGAACTGAAAATACATACGCACGAATGTGCAATACTCTCTCTCTCTCACTCTCTCACTGTAGGAACTGTGTGTCTAGGTGAAATGTTGTATACTTAAAAGAAAATAAATTGAGAAAAATACGTCTTCAGTGGAATTCCTGTATCCCGAACAGAGCTTTCATGTCGAAGCGTTGCGTACGAAGTACATATTTTGGCTGCAGCATGGTAAAACGTTCAACATTTGTACAAATAATACACGGAACAACACAACGTCATTGAAGCAAACAATTAATGCAGTCATATTGTCGCGTGTTTCAGCCGAAATAAAAGATATCGTGCAGACAGAGCGAGCGAGGACGTCGACAAATCTGGAGAATGTCTCTTGCAGAGACGAGTGATACGTTTATGCAGCAGGCAGTGACGAGATGATGACGATGAATAGATAAACAAATCCCTAATTGTCCGTGTAGCACAGAGATTTGTTACGAAGCGTCTCTAAAAGATATCACAGTTATGGAATTCTAAAAAACACTGAGTTAAACGAAGCAAGCAACACTACATCTCTTGAGCATTCACTGATATCAAATACTTCCGAAGACCTCTTGAGTCTGGCTCGAACTGGAAGATTTCGAGGCTGTAAAGAGTTTCTCGAAGTTTCTGACCGCGTGCTCACTTGTACCTGTTCAAACATCAAGTGCGTTGGCCACTAACGTGACCAATGGAACCCGTAACGCATGCAGACGGCAATCCGCCTCCAAATTCACAGACTAATTATTAAATACAGTCGACACTTTGCCGAATTCTTTGGTAGAATTTGCTAGTTTGTCCGCCGTGTTCATCGTTCAATGCGTCAAATGAATCAGACGAGAAACACGAGGTATCTTAGGAACACGCGCACTCAAGAACACGGATGTTCTTCCAGTTGGACACCTTCAGCTTCGAGGGGTTTTGGTCATCCAAGTGAAGGATCTCGAGGTCGGTGAGTTTGTTGGGGGCGCAGCACGGCCTCGGGGCACGGTCCCTGTTCTGCTTCCAGATCAGACTCTGCAGTAACGCGTGGTGATGGGCAGGGTTATATCGGGGTGGGCACCGCCCTTTGCAGTAGCCGGCGTCGAAACCCTTCGGCTCGAGAATGAAGCCGAACCCCTCCAAGTCCCTGAACACAACCTCCATCTTGTGCCTGCAACATCGCTGACCATCTTTTCGGCATTCAGTCCGTCTACTGTGGTGTGCACTGTAAAACGGATCGGATGAACGTTTCTGTCTGGAGTTTGCTTCAACGTGAACTTCAGCAAGAACGTTCAGAACCGGGCTGATGGAACTGTTACTCCCTTCAGTGTCCTGCGTGACGAAGGTAACACCACGCCGTAGGCATTCTCGACACTCGACTTCCAGCCCCAGGTTACTGGCTCCTTCGCTCACCCATGCGTCCACCGCTTTTGTCACATCAAATTCTGTCCATTTCGATGCCGAAGCAGCGAGATGAATCCGACGTTGGTCCACCAACAATCTCCGTTCCTCGAGCTCGCGTGTAGTTCCATCGTCGTTTATCTGGGATTCTTCGTCCGGCTGAAGAACCCGGTACACACGCACGTCGACTGTGTTGCCACCACGAGCTGCCTCTTCTGGATCGAGCCCAGACACGAACAGTCGTAGAGTTGCGTACTCAGTACGCACCTGGCTACTATGGCGAGCCTCTGGTATGTCGAGAGGGAAGTAGAGCCACGTGGTGTCACCCTGACGAAGCCTCGACACAGACTCGCGACGTAGCCTTTGCCTCAGGTGACCTGGAAACACAGAAACAAGAGAAGTGCCTCAGTGTGGACCGACAGAACACCCCGATGTCTCGGACTCCGGCCGCATCGGTTCGTACGACAAGGACAAGCAGAGCCAAGAAGACTGTTAACGCTGTTTTACTCAGCCCTACCGAGCAAATATATATTTATACATATTTCATTCACACGTAGTTGATATCAACATCGCGCTAGTTTAATTTCAATTTCTCCACCTTTTATTTGCACATTCTTGTCGTGGTTTACAATCCTGTGACCTGCGAGATCTACCTCAGTCGCTGGTTTTATTACGATGATAACACCGAGGGATTACATTTTTGGCAAACAACGTACAGGAACATAATGCGTGGTTTCGTCTAGCACAAAATCTTAACAACCAAGTTTATGGAAGCAAAATAACTCTTGACTGTCAATAAATTTCTCACTTTTTATAGAACCTTGAAGTTTCGTCAACATATTGAAAAAGGACAGAATCTCTGTCTTGTGGCAGATGAATCTAATCCACGATTTTAATATTATATTTGACGACAGAAAATGTTCTAATTATTTTATATAGCGCAAATTTTAAAACAGGTCAGAGATTACACATCGAGCGGATAACAGATCAGGTAATGCTGATAAAACCTTGCGAAGCATACGTTAAATATATTTGCAATACATTATGAAACTGGTGTATAATTTAATTCTGCTTCAAAAGCCATCAGTGGTAACTATATATACCACCTGCTTTAACATTCAGTAACCCTGAATTTTGTCCACAGAGTGTTTTTATGGTTTCTGCAAGGATATCAGAATAAACAGCGATTACTAACTTAAACGACATTCACCAACTGATCATTGTATTGGAGACGTCGTGTTTCCTTTGAGGTAGGAACTAAATTTGTAAACGTCTTATAGATGAGCTTCGGCTTCATAGGGTCAATGACGACGGCTGAACGCGGTGAACTACACGCGCGAATACAAAGAAGGTCCTGCGATCCCTGCCAAGCTGCAAGCCCTCAAATGGACACGCCAGACGAACGCATCCAGGCGGAAATGCGGATTCGTTACAGAAATAAAACTGGGCAGGAAGGACCCCGAAAGGACGCGTACCTTTCCAGGTTTTCCGTGACGCGGAATAAGGAGCGTCACGACGCTTGCCGCGTCGGTTATGGGTGGACGGGTGGGTGTCGCCCCCAGTCAAAGGCTCGCCTTCAAAGGCTTGCGGCGGTGGCAACAGTCGCGGTGGGATGGGGGCGGTGATGAGGCAGGCCTTCTTCTGATTCATAGATGAACAAATAAACTGGCGCTGGCAGTCAGCGGGCCAGCAGACGTTCCCATAATTCAGTAGGCGACGAGAAATTACTCCCTTCATCTTTCATTCAATACACCCAATTTAATAATTTCAAGTCCAGTTACAACTACATGTACCACCTGCTTTAACAACAAATACTTCTGTTTTCTTTTCCCACTGAGTGTACTTAAGGCTGGCGTATGACTCTCTTTATAATTGACGACTATTTCCTTAAACAACTAACTAACTAACCAGATGGCTTACCGAAGCCGAAGGTTCATCACCGAATTAACCAAAGCCCTCCACCGGACCCTGTCCTGGGCCAACAAAATCCATCCTCCTTCAACTCCTATCTCCCATAGATCCAGCCTGAGATTATCCTCCCATCTACGTCTAGGTCTCTCCAGAGGTCTCTTCCCTTCAGGCTTCCCAACCAGTACCCGGTGCACACCTCTTGTCTAATCCATGCGCGCTACGTACATCGACCAATTTATCTTAGTAATGGAGAAGTGGACACTGAACTTCAAAATATTTAGATAAACTTTCGGCACAAAGCGTTTATTCATTAAATTTGCGTGATCGTGGATTGTCATCTACTCTGACTCCATAAGGCAAGTTTCTTTCAAGAAGAACAAGAAGATTTCTGGCGAAGAAAATCCAGCAGCGTGGTCCCTTGTTCCACCCTTAAGAGAATGTTAATTTGTGTCTCCTAGTTCCGTTCCTAATTTCAATTACTATTAATATTTGCCTTTAACATCGAAGGCACTAAGTTAACTTGTTCACTCCTACAAGTGAATGGAAGTCACATTGGTAGCCGCTAATTGTCTGTGTTACTTGTAATTCGAAACACGATAAACATTACGTCTATAAGAACTACTGCAGAGCACAGAATTACAATCAGCTCAATAAATCAGATATCTCTTTCAGAGGCTGTACTCATTCAGCGAGTCAAGAATTTCACCGGCTTTGATCTAACAGGGAAGTTCACAACCGTGGTCACAAAATCCCTCCCCACGGACGGAAACGGATCCGACATCCGAAACACTCAGTTCCTTTCAGAATACCTGACAACAGAAAAAGTCCAGAAGCCCGGTAACAGTAATTTGGCCCGTACTATATAAGCTATTAATTAATTCTATGAAGCAGAGTCCTTGAGAATCTAACAGTACCACTCAGCTAGTCAAAAAACTCCCCGCCCTTTATGGAACCCGAGGGTTCATTACCGCGTTCACAAAACACCACACACAGTCTTTATTACGAATCCAATTCACACCGCAAACATTATTTCCCGAACATTCATTTTAATATTATCCTAACATCAACTCCCAGGTCTTCTGAGCGGTCTCTGCTCTTAAATCTGTTCAACCAAACATTTGTATGCATGCGCGTTACATGCACCGCCCACTCCTTCCTCATTCATTTGATCACCTTAAAATATTACGTTTTAAGCTGAAACGTCAATATTGTGTCTAAGTAACAAGTCAACTAACGAGATATGAGTGATATTTATTTAAGAACGATACTTGGAAGCGAAGGTTACGAACTGAATTAGACAGAAAATTTTCGTACTACGAGACGCTGTTGAAATAAACAGTTTGCGAGAGAGAAACAACCAAATTCGCCCACATGATGGAGCCAGCAAGTAGTTCTGAAACGTCGATGAACCTGCATTCAAATTTCCTAGGAGCTTGTAGTCTTCATACACAACCGTGAACGTCTTAAATCTCAAATCCTGAACCTTGCGCTCAAGAGACACTAATCTGCAGCAAATTCCATACGAGATAGAAAACACAATTTCGCAGTGAAAAGCTTTTGTTGCTTTGTTTGAAAAAAAAAGTCAACATTTACACCGAGAAGTAAGCCTCTGAAAAACCTCGACACCGAAAGAAGTCGAACCGGTTTCCGTACGAGCCCACACTCTTCACCAGATTACACGATCGTCTGCAGTGTAAATGAATCCGGATACACTGGTAAGTCACATGACACGATAAAGTTGTCTTTCTTATTGGGCAGACATATTCGCTCTGTTAACTTTATAGCACAATGCCCTTTCACAAAACCTACTCGTTTGAGGAACAAAACAAATTCTGTTTGAAGAGCCTCAAACGACGATACGACCTAGGCGAAGATGTATTGATAATATTAAAATTTATCTTATTGGAATAAAATGTAGGTCAAATCTAAAACTTCTTGACGATGGTGAAGAGTCAATTGAATAAAAATTTACTTAGATATTATCCATCGTCTAGTAAAAAACGTAAAACGACGTTTCGGAGATGGGGAGATAGGGATTAGCTCTATCTAGTGGGCCCAACTGAGTAGGAACCTGAAGACGGAGATAGAGCCCCATCTCCGAAACGTCGTTTTACGTTTTTTTACGTTTTATTACTAGACGATGGATAATATCCAAGTAAATTTTTATTCAAAATGTAGGTGTCTGTACTAGATTTATCTGCAGACCTGAGGACGTGACAAGGGGCCGATGCGACCCACTTCGTTCGTTGTTGATTCGTGGTTTACGAAACTTGCTGTTGCCAGTTTGAACCGAACTTGGCACGTGTTCAGTGGCTGGAAGACGCGACGTACGCCATTTTGTTCTTCGTTTTATGCCCAGAAGTGTACAGAACTCGTCAAGAAGGAAGAGAGAGTGTGAAGCAGCGGCTTTTAAACAGATTCCGACGTAAAAGACCACGAAGTCCCTCGTACGAACGTCGTAGGTTCTTACATTCAGTGACATTGTATCTAGAGAGAATAGGACCCCGAAGCACTTTGACACTCCGAAGAGAAAGTCAGTGTCCCAGCTCTTCGATTCTAAAGAAGAAGAAGAAGAAGAAGAATGTGACGTCTGAGAGGTCGATTTATCTTTGACTTTTTGTATCAAGTTTGGGTCAGCAGTTCACCCATCAACTCTGCTTATCTCTCACCACAAAAATGTTTCCACTTTTCTCACAGGCAGGCTGTGATTCTGTCATTGCCATGACGAAGGACCACTCTCTAACGCCGCCATACATTCCTCATTTATCGTTTATCAATATAAACACTGACGATGTTGTTATTCTGTGAAACCCTGAAGATGGACACAGTATGTTTATCCGAAACGCTGGTGTCTACCTACGAGTCCACACGGCGTCAAAGCCTAGAAAAACATCGTCACCCTCAACGCCGTGATAAACTCAAATCCAACACAAAAATTGTTTATCATATCCCAACGGAGACTACAACAGAGTACTTATTTAACGATTCGGTATCTTATACTGCAGTTATACGGGGTATAATGACATGGAAGGATGATAGTAAAGGTTGATTCGAGAGAGATTTTGAAGATATTAATGTGGAGATCCCGAGACATGACAGTCTCTCCTCGATAGCATTTTGGTACTGGCATGCTGGTTGCATACACCTCATGAACAGGAGTCAGAATGAATGTGCGAAGGAACCCGTCCTTCGAGGAATGAAGACGGGGACGGAAGTATCGTTCAAACTCGATATCAGACGGTTCCCTACGAGCACACCGATTTAACTAGATGGTGAGTGGACCGCAGACTCACTGAGTCATTACGCCTGATATTGTCGTCGTCCAAATTTCTTTGTTTTCCACAAGCGACGTGCAATTACGCTGGTCTAGTCGAAATTATAATTCAATATTTTCTTGTTCATTACTTTATCTACGGGTTGTATTAACGACGCTGTCAGTAGCCTAGCCTATATAGAGTCGAATATG